AGCGTTAGTGTGTGAATTAGTAAACAGCTTAGCAGCATCCAAATTTGCTTAGGAAGAGAGATCTGTAGATTATTGCTAGTGTACATTCGTCGCAATAATAAAATCGCTATATTTATTAGCATATAAACGCTAGCTATTATCGCCAGCAATATCACAACGGTACTCATTGTGCCAGTAGTCGTGAAATATCCATGATAATGGCACCATTTATTTATGCATGCGGCAAAAGCTAATAGGGACAGGAATGCGCCCTTGCCCTTGACAAAAACGCGATCTGTTCCCGTGCAAAAATCCAATAGCGCATTGAGGACTACCTGGAAATATGTTTAATATAATAAAAAATTTTGTGCCATTAACCCAGTTCTTACAATTGTGGTTAGCGCAAGTCCCAGTGTGATCAGCCCGTAATCGAATTGCACTAATGAATCGGAGAGCTGATTTGAAATTTCGCGTGCCAAACGTATATAATGTATTTTAGCGTCCTCGAAAATAAAGGCATTTTCAAAATTATTATTACGCTTTTCTAAAAGAAAATGCTTATGCGTAGATTTCGCTGTTGTAAACCATTTGCTGAATGCTATAATAATTTGTAAACAATTATAAGCAAAATTGGATGTACATATGTGCAAACTCACCATTTTTATTAACATAATCTTGACCAAATTTGTTGTTAGCTTTTTGCATTAAATGTAAAGCATTGTAGTAATAAGCATATAGTTGATCCTCAAAGTTAAATTCATGCAAGAGCTCGGGTATTAAACAGCCAATCGACATTGGTGGAATTTCCATAGACCACAGAATGGCTAATGTTGGAGCCACATCAATTTGATTATACTCGTTAGTTTTACTAAAGCTACAATTTATGTAATATATAAACTATACAATATTATTATAMATTTTTTGCAATTATTTACCCTTTTGTAGTACAATTTTCTTTGAGAACAAATAATGGCACATACAGTTCCGAAGCTGTACTCCCACCATGGCCTCCACCATCTCGCATACCGTGGTCACCCGTTAATATTAGTAGTTGCCTGTGAAAATGCTGTTTTGCATCACGAAATATGTGTTATCTCATAATAAGACGAAAATTATTAGTTTAGAATACCTTTGCTTTGTAGAGCTTTAGCACAACGTCATCCATTTCTTTTAGCTTAAACGGGATTTTAGAGCTATCACTACCTTCAACATGTCCAATGTGATCCAAGCCCAAATAATGAAGCACCAGCAACATCCAGTCCTCATTTTGCAATTCTTTGGACACTACTTCCGTTACATTCTTGTCACCCTATGAGGACAAAGATGAGCTAAAAAATATAAACGTACATCAAATTAATAAGTCATATTCACCTCATAAAAGTCGTTTACATAAAATGAATCTGAGTTAGCGGTAAAACGTGTAAATTGTTTTGGAAAGAGACTTATCCAAGTACGATCACCGGCAAAAACCGTAATTTCATTACGTACTTGCAAGCGGTGTATTAAAGAGTCTGCAAGCTGCTCAACATGACCAATGTTTAGGACTATATCAATAAAATTTGAAATAGTGCCGGTTGTTAAGCTTTTAAGCCGCGGCATGGTAACAGTAGGAATATTCACTCGCAATTTGAGACGATTACACGAGTTGTTGTAAGAAAACTCCATAGCATTTTGACTGGCAAAATCGAAACGTAGAGCATCCACTAGCATTAGTATGGTTTGCGCGTAAATTTGAGTTGGCGGCGTTAAACTTTGAAAAATATAATTTTTTTTTTAAAGAAAATATTGATTTTATTTAGTTTACCTCAAACCATCTAAATCATTTGGTTTGTCTTCAGCCACTGCACGATCTAATGTATAATTATTTATGGGGAAGAAGCCAGTTAGAAAAATCGACGCGCCAAAAATAAACGTAACTATCATCCACATCAAAAAATATCTGATTGATCTTGATTTTTCCATCTTTAATGCCGTCTTCGCATAACAATCATCGAAGAAGCAAACAATTTCCTAATTTTATTTAAAATTTAACACAGTTTGAAATCGATCCCATAGCAGTCACCGATTAATCAAAAATTTATTGAAAATAAATCAAAAAACTATCACAGAAATCAGCTGATCACTGTTCCTTTCCTTAACCCAAACATTACCATAATTTCAGCTTTTCAATTAGAAATCGATAACTGTTTATGAAGTAATATTGTTTTTATAACATCGCAACGCTTTTTTACTCGGTTATACATTTGAAAGGAAAAATTAGTGTTAATTATTAAGATATGTTGCAATTTCTGAAAGAAACATTGTTTGAAAATTTTGTGTCACTACAACGAGTAGCACATCACTAAAAATTTGTTCGATAATTAAATTCTGAGTTTAATAACAATTTCTAAGATACACAGTTGTCAAACTACTAATCGTAAAAGTTTATCCATTATATATCAAATTATTTCAGAAACATGAATATTTGTGGAAGTGTATTTGTCTCAAAAGACGTGCTGAATTTCGCTTTAAAATGCTTATATTGCGAAGAAGATATAAATGAGTGGGAGAGTTTTGTTAATCACATTCAAAGTTTGCACAATAGCGACCTAGAGGAACCATGCATTGATCCCATAGTGGAATTGGATTATAAAGAAAACAATGCTTTGGAATGGTTAAAAGATGAAGTTATGCCATCCACTGATGGCGATCATTGGGATGAAAATGTAGATGCTTTGAAAGTGGAAGTACCTTCAGATGGGGAAGCCTGTAAAACAGAGGTAATTTACCAATTTTTGTATATATATGTATATAGTGAATTTTTTAATTTTAATGCGTTTTTACATTTTCTTCACACAGCCAACAGAAGACCCCGTTTCTGATAATGTCGGAGACCACAGTTATGATGATGACAACGACAGTAACTCTGACTCAGACTCCTCTCAAGAATACCTAGAAAAAAATAAACAAAAAACTCCGAAAAAGGTTTGTTTACTTAAACTACTTAAGTACATCGATAAATAAAATATTTCCTTACAGTTTAAGCCATCATTTTATAGGAATAACAAAAATACAAACGTATTCATTGAAATGTATGAAAAATCTCCTTGCTTATGGAATCCTAATGACGAAAATTATAATAATAACACGGAACGTTCAAAATGTAAAACTGAAATGATACAAGGGATGGAACAAAGATGTCAAATAACATTAACTTACAAAAAATTGTGGGAATGCTTTCGGGAGTTGCACATGTTGTACAAGACAGTGGGGGAGGCCATAGAGAAGAAATCAGGTTCAAGATACAAAAAATTGTCTCCAACTGTGCTAGGATATTATGAGAAGTGTTCATTTCTCTCCGTAGCATTAGATGGATTTTTGGATATATTTGAAGATACGCCAAATACTGTTACGGTTTGTATAAGCATATTCATACATATTTTAATTTAACATTTTTAATTAATACAAAATTAATTTACAGAATATAAGCTTTGCTTCTAAAAACACTATAACGATAGCATTTATCGACACATATGAACGTTTTCCGTCTCTTTACGATTACAAACACCCAGATTACTACCAACAAGCTAAACGTAGACAAACATACAAGGATATGGCTGACAGCCTTAGGATTGAACAAAACGTTGAGTTCACCGATGATGATATCTTCAAAGGAATTGAGTATATGCGTCAATGGTATTTTAAGCTGAAAAAACGTCTTGGAAAGAATTTGAAATTTGAGTCTTTGACAAAAGCAGCGCAACATTATGTCGAAAAGTTAGCTTTCCTTACCAGAAGATCAAGGGGTGAGAAGCGTTACGACACAGATTTGCCATGTACAGAGTGTAATGAGATATTTAAAACTAATGCAGATAGACAGACCCATCTTCACAGTGTGCATAATATCGGTGAATTGCCCTACAAATGTGATTTATGCGATAAAAGCTTTACAAATAAACCCGCTTTAAATGGTCATAAACGAAGATTTCATACGGAAAAAATACATAAATGTGAATTCTGCGATAAAATTTACGCTATACCAGCAGATCTGAGAAATCACATGGGAATACATACTGGCCACAAGCCATATATATGTGAATTGTGTGGTAAAGGATTTCGTAATAGAACTAAGCTACGTTTCCATAACGATGCAATACATCTAAAGATAAGAGCATTCAAATGTACAATGTGCCCGAAAGATTTCTTGAAAGCACGCGATTTGCAAGATCACATAAAGGCTCACCTTAACATAAGAGATAAGATTTGTGATACATGTGGCAAAGATTTTACAAGCGCCCACGGATTACATCGGCACAAGCAACTGCATGCGGAAGTTAAAAAGTATGCTTGTAAATTTTGTGAGAAACGTTTTTATCAGTTTGTGGGGCTTAATTCACATATGAAGCACCGGCATGGCATTTATAAGAACGGCGGAAAGAAAAATGATAAAATCCCTCACACAGAGCCACTACCACAAACATCGACAACAAATATGCTCACCAGCGTTCTCCCAAACATTTTTGGGAATGTATAATGCTGCTATAACAACAAAAATCATGCATTTTCGTGGAATTAGTTATAAAATCATAGTTTATATTTGTACATATAAGGATTCAACACAACTTTTTGAAGTATTTGACTCTGCATAATGGCTACTTTAATATTTCTAATTTTTATTTTAGTTCTTACTGTTTAATAAAAACATATGTATATAAGAAACACCAAATAAATAAATTGTTTTAATTTATAAATATACTTTGTGGTTCTCGGTAATTTTAAATTTTTTTACAAGGGGTTTAATGTAATTACAATACACAAATATGTACAATAAATTCATAAACAAAATAAATGCACCTAAATAAGGGCAAACATTATTGATAACAATAAACTTTGTTTACACCCTTCTTCTTTGAAAACAGTGCCTATTCACATCAGCCGCATATATAATCATTGTGAATTGGATAAAATTAAGTGAAAGAAAATACACAATCGCCGAATTTTATCGCCGATTCGTAGTTCCTTGCAAGTTTTAATTCTAGAAAATGGATATATGTGGAAATGTTTTGGTTTCTAAAGACATACTCAATTTTGCGCTCAAATGTCTATATTGTGAAACAGATATAGAAGAATGGGACGCCTTTGTTAATCATATACAAAGTTTGCACAACACAAACTATGAAGAGCCTTGTATAGATCCACTAGTGGAATTGGATTATAAAGAAAACATCGTAGTTGGATTGATAAAAGATGAAACTATGACTGAAATCGACACAACTGAATTTGCGGGTAATGACTCCGATATGAAAATGGAATTGCAGTCAGATGGAGAATTTGTTAAATCCGAGGTAATATAGTGAGTGAAGTCTCTCCAGGAATTTCATACATAATTAATATATTTAAATTACATATTCAGCATGACGACTCTACCGCCTCGGATGTGGACCAAAGTCAAGATAATGATGCAAATTATGTTGACACCGATACAGATTCCCCTGATGAAGATGGCAAAAAAGATTTGGCGAACAACAAAAAAGTATGGATATGTAATACAAATCGCATTATTTTTAATCCTAGCTTACATGTAATAAAATACTGTTTTCAGTTTAATCCAACATTTTATAGGCGTAACACTAGCACAACTATTTTCATTGAACTTTATAAAAAAGCTACATGTTTATGGGATCCCAGCGATGATCATTATAACAATAGTGTAGCACGGGAAAATTGTCAAAAAGAAATTATTGAAGAAATGAAAAAGCGCTGTCAAGTTATATTAACTGATCAAACAGTGAAAAGTTGCTTCCGCAAAGTGCACATGCAATACCAGGCAACACATCAAGCAAAACAAAAAAAGACAAAGTCGAAAACTAAAAAATTACCAGGTATTGTGATGGATTATTATCAAAAATGTTCCTTTTTGTCTGTGGCGAAAGACGATCTTGTCAAAGAAGTAGAGGAGACACCAATCACAAATACCGTAAATATAAATCAAACTTTTTTACTTGAGTAATATGTACGTATAGTATATGCCTATATATTGATTGTATACTCTTTCAGAACTTAAGCTTTGCCAAACTAAATCCGGTAACTGAAACCTTCATTGAAACATACGCTCTTTTCCCAGTATTATATAATACTAAGCATGAAGATTATAATAACTCCAGTGTCCGTAAACAAACATACAAGGAAATGTCAAATATTATTAAATCTAAACAAACTATAGAATTCAGTGATGACGACATTTATAAGGGGATCTACTACTTACGTCATTGGTATTACAAACTAAAAAATCGCCTTGAGAAAGATTTAGCAGAAAAAGATTTATCAAGTGCAGCTCAAATTTATATGAAAAAATGTGCTTTTCTACCAACTAGAGCGCCAAATTTGAAATTGAAATGTACGGAATGTAATAAAGTTTTCCAAAATGAGACGACGCGACAAAGTCATCTCTTTAGGGAGCACAATATCGGCGATTGGCCACACAAATGCACGGAATGTGGACGTACTTTTGAATTCAAAGCAACATTACTAATGCATGAGCAACGCAGTCATGTGGGAAAGGTACATAAATGTGATTATTGTGAAAGACGTTTTGCCGTACAAGTGGATTTGCAGCGACACATAGGTACGCATACTGGTCAAAAACCCTTTGTATGCGAATTATGTGGAAAAGCCTTTCGCAGTAAGACACAATTGGGTTATCACTCAGACGCCATACATACGAAAACAAGAGCTTACAAGTGTACAATGTGCCCGAAAGACTTCTTGAAAGCACGCGATTTGAAAGATCACATAAAGGCTCATCTTAATATACGCGATAAAATATGTGAAACATGTGGCAAAGGATTTACCAATTGCCATTCACTCATACGACATAGACAAATACATTCCGAAATTAAAAAATTCGCTTGTAAATTATGTGAAGCGAAATTTCATCAATTTGTTGGATTAAACTCACATATGAAAAGGACGCATGGCATAGTTAAAAGTCAACAAAAGTCCTAAAATTAACTGACGTCGGAACTTCATTTTAACATGAAAAAATGCGAAACAAAGTTATGCCCAGATTCAATGAATTCATTTTTGAAGTGAATTTAATAGCGTGCAATTAGTAACGAGCGTTAATTAGAAAGTACCAAGCAATTCAAACGTTAATATTGTAACCGAAATTCAGTTCATTTTTGTTTAAGAATGATAGCCTGTTCAGTTTTAAGGAGTTACCATTAATTGAGTTTCGCAAGGATATATGATTAGCAATATTATTAATATTATATATAAAAGCGCTAAAATTATTTTATTTAAGCTGCTTACATAAAAAATATGTATTAAATGAAATTAGTATACAACATAACTTGTTTGTATGTATTTATTAAAKTATATGCACTATTTATAAGCTATCATTTCATGTTTTTAACATACTTGGAAAAATAAAACTAAATTACTAAATTTGTTGGTTTTATATAGTTGAATAAAGTTGTTCGCAACAAGCTTGAGAACTACTGCAAACAGCTGTTTAACGGCTGATTTGACCAAAAACAGCTGTGCTTATCAAATCGGTAAAGTGTGATGCAAACCGCTTTTTAGCTTTGATAGTCGCAGTTAAAATGATTAAACTATTTTCACAATTCGCCGGCAGTAGTTTGCGTTCCCTTCGCACCGTAACCGCAGACTCACATCTAACTACCACCAAACTAGCCAGTGTATGTGAGATAAAAAAAAAATGGTTTAGCCATACGGGCGTTGCTGCAGCAGAAGATGATAATACGCGACATTGTAATGTGGGTACAATTGGGCATGTGGACCACGGTAAAACCACATTAACATCTGCTATAACTAAAATTCTGGCAGAGAAGGGACTAGCGCAGTATGCGTCATACGATCAGATCGATAGAGCGCCCGAGGAGAAAGCGCGAGGCATAACAATAAATGCTTGTCACATTGGATATGCAACAGCGCAACGTTCCTATGCACACACCGACTGTCCGGGACATGCGGATTACATTAAGGTGCGTGAATAATTGATTAAATCATCAAATACATTTTTATGTATGAATTGATTGTTTTACCTGTAGAATATGATAGCTGGCACGTCACAGATGGATGGTGCTATACTGGTCGTCGCGGCAACCGATGGACAAATGCCACAAACGCGTGAACATCTTCTACTTGCCAAACAGGTTGGCATTGAACGTATTATTGTATTCATAAACAAAGCTGATCTAGTTGATCAGGAAGTATTAGAACTGGTGGAAATAGAAATGCGTGAAATGTTATCAGATTTTGGTTTTGATGGCATTAACAGTCCGGTAATTTGCGGTTCCGCGTTGTTAGCTTTAAATGGTGATACATCAGCCTTTGGTGTGCCAGCAATTGAAAATTTACTACAACATTTAGATACTTATGTGCCGACACCAACGCGTGATTACACATCACCCTTCATATTGCCAATTGATAATGCATTCACAGTAGCGGGACGTGGTACGGTCGTGGTTGGCACAATCAAACGTGGAACAATGCTTAAAAATGATTTAGCCGATTTGCTTGGTTTCAATCAGAATATCAAAACTAGTTTAGGAGATATACAAATTTTCAAAAAGAGTGTGCCGAAGGTAAACGAATTGTATGCAAATGAGAATTGCTTAGAAGTTTTTATTTTATTTTTTGTTTTAAATATTACTCTAGGCTGTAGCGGGCGAAAATGTTGGTGTCTTATTACGTGCCGTTAAAATTTCTAGCGTGGAACGTGGCATGCTCCTATGTGCGGCTGACACTGAAAATATCTCAAATCACTTCGAGGCCTCCATGTATTTACTATCACGTGCAGAAGGTGGTCGCAGTAAACCTATGCTCTCCAAATACATACAGCAATTATTTAGCGCCACTTGGAATTCGCCGGCACGCATTGACATTGGTAAGCATTTCGCAAACAAACAATTGGACTTTATTTCATGATTTTTTTAATATTTATTTTATGCAGTACCCTCCGATGGCATGCTAATGCCTGGTGAACATGGCAAGGTGCGCATAACATTACTGCGAAAAATGGTTTTAATACCAGGGCAAGCTTTTACGATAAGAGAAAATGGTGCAACCGTGGCGACAGGCATGATTACCGAAAGAAAAGCATCGTTGGATATACCAAAAAATAAATTGTCTAAAATTGAAATAACTTGTTGAGTATGTATGTGTAATAAAATGCAAATAAAGAAAAACAAGTTGGTTTTCTTTTAATGTATATTATATTTATTTGAAATAAGTACGTAGTTTTGTAATTGCATGTTTTGAAATTTAACATTGGAAATCGTTGTTACTTTATGGCAATGCCGGAAGTTTTTGGAGCTAAACATAAATATTTAAATATGTACATATGTATGCAGGAATGCGCATACTGTGTAAAGTTTGGAATTTCAGCTAATTTACATTACTATGTATGTTTCAGAGTAAATTATTTTATTAATACGATTTTTCATAGCTAATAATAATATTTCAGACATTTTGGCAAGATTTTTATTAATTAAATGGCATTAAGGAAAGGAAACTTACGAATTTTGACAACTTTTCAATAACTGTTTAAAAAATAACTTTCAATACATATACAATTTTATATATTTTTCAATTTTGTGGCATGATATAATTTTAAATATTTATGTTTGCATTTTAAACAAATATTTTTAAGTATTATTGTTTCCAAAACATTTATATTTATAAATAGAAAAAGTCTCAATATTATTATGTCTACATGTGCCTGCAATTAAAGCCTCTACAAAAACAAAAATAATTTACAGCTGCTTTACAATGTTCGCAAGTACTATAAATGTATGTATGTATAAATATGTACGTATATGCATAAAATGCGCTAAGTTTGCATATTATAATAATTTAAAGCAAACTAATTTATGTTTTTTGCTTTTGAGCTAGACCAAATAAAGTTTTTTCTCAAATACTTTTTAATTTGATTACAATTTCAGCAATATTTTGGCAAATAAATAATTGTTTATAAAATAATTTTTTTTTTTATTTATTTATAACAATTTATACAATAATAAATTACAGCATAAATTAAAAAGCGACACTAGCTATTGGGCTTTCAGTCGTATAAAATAAATTATCTGAAGTGYAAACAAAAGTAGTCAACATATATAAATTATGAGCGAAAAACGTTGTAAACTCGAAGTAACAGATGACACAGTGTATATAATTCAGTAACTAAGGCTTGATGAATATTCTAAATGCGCTAAAATTATGCCAGAGCTAATAAACACTAGCTTTAAAGTATGCTTTTATTGATTATTTTTTTTAAGTTTGTTATTATTTCTTTAATTATATCGGTTTTTACATTGTTTAGCATGTTTATTTTATATTTTTTTGTATGTTATTTTCTATTGACAATAATTATAATCATACTCAAAATAATTTTCACATGTTTTTTCATAATCTTTTTGCTCAACAAGTAATATAACTAAATAAATGTAAAATAAAATGCAATAAATACAAAAAATACAAGTCTTTTAAATAGTAGCAGCGTGCTCTACAAACGAAAAATCTATGTTCTTCGCTATTTACTAGTGCAGGCAGTTAAACTTTTTAGGAATTTGCATATTCAACAGACGTAGATTTCTTTACAATAAATATTTATATAGATTTAATGTGTACGTTTAATACATATGTATAAGGATGTATGTGTGTATGTATGTGTGTAAATAAACATTTATCTTTTTTATTATATATTTTTTTTTATCACATGTACGATTGCTCACTAACACATACTCAGTGGTCAGTGTTGCTGTTGCTGCTGCTCGCTCACCAACAGTAAGGCAACTATGTTGCTGTGGTTTCACCATTATTAACATTATTTAGCTATTCAAAAAGTTTCCCACGCTTTAAATACAACTTCAATGCAACATTGCAAAATTTAGTATAGCTGATTATATCAATTATTGCATTATTTTACTAATTCAAAATTAATGTGTATACGTGTATATGCCAATAATACTAACAAGTACCGTTAACAAAGTTTTTTTTAATGTATTAGCGTTTTATGATGATAAAGTTGCTTAGCTTTTACCGTGTAATAAATTAACTAATAGGCGAGTTTAAGTCGTTGCACAATGTCATCATATTTTAAACAATTTCTTAAACGTTTGAAATAATTTTTTGCGTACACTCTAATTAACAGTTTTTTTTTTGTTTTTAATAAAATTGCTTATAAGCTTAAGGTAAATTAATACAAATAATTTATATAATATATTTTAAGTAACTGAAATAGTCCAATTAGTTTTTATGCTATGCATGGTTTTTTTTTTCTAAATATAATTATGTATATATTGGCACTAGTGTTAAAGTATTCAGTTACAAAATACTTTTTTTCGTGTAGGGGGGAATGTTCAGTTCATTCATAAGTACGTAATTTACTATAATAATAATATGTGTATGTTTCAATGGCAACAAATTGCGCAAGGTACACAATACATATTTCTGTCACAACTCTTTTCTAACAATAACAATTTTAGCTTGGAAGTATATAGGTAACTAAGGCTTAGCTAATATAAATTCATAATTTTAGCATTTTCTAGTATTAATTTATATATATTTTCTTGCTTTGTCGGAGGGTGGAGTGTTTGGACTGTATAAATTTATAACGACATTGTTTATAATACACACATAACGTTTAATTTAAATTTTCGCCAATAGGTCTTCCAGGCCCAAATGTTTCGGCAATTCAATATCCTCTAATTTGACATCACTATACTTGAAAACCACTTTGAAGGGATGTATGAATTTCTGATCCATAGTAAATTCGTCGTTTTTAATCTGTGAATGTTGGGTTGTCATATTAAATTAAAGAAAATATTAAGAAGTATAAAATGAGTAGTGCTGATATTACCATTGCACGTTCGTTTAGCTTTTTGGTGAGTTTCTCCAAAAACGTATTCGTTATTTCACCTTCATAATCATCCAGTTTGTATGATTTCATAACCTTAAAGTAGTGAAAAAAATATATTTTTTTATTAATATTATGTTTACAAGTTGTTGTTTTTAGTTAGAATTTGTTTACATTAAAACATTGTTTTTTATAATTCTTTTATAATAAATAAAATAAAAATTTTAAACCTTTAGAATAACTACTGTCTCTTATACACATCTAGATGTGTATAAGAGACAGTTTATTTGCATTTTAAACATACACATCACACTCACCTGTTGCCTAGTTGCGCTGATCACTACACGTCCACCTAGCGTTGTTACTTTTGCGGCGTCTGCGCACAGCGTATCAATTTCCTCCATATCCATTAATTGTTTGCATAGCGACATCTG